ATGGATTAATTCTACAAGACTCTTTCTGTGCAAGGTTTATTTTGTGCATCTGTATGGTAGGATACGACCGAACTGCTCGACGAGCTCCGGAGGCAGAGGAACCCTGCGGATGGCGCTGAGCTCAGGAAGACTCGGCACGCTGATCAGCCCCGGTCCCTGCAGAGGGTAATCCATGTCCGACACGCCCGAGAGCGAAGGCATATCTGTCAAACACCAGACACAAGCACATGAACGTGTTTTAAGCTCAATAAGCATGCCTCAACAACGGCCAGGACAGACAGTATCTCTTACTGTGTGACGGGATATTGAGGAGCTCGGACAGGTCTGGGAAACAACGATCCTCCTGCAGATGCCTGTCAATCAAGCGGCTGGAGTTTTCCAAAGCCTCCTGAAGAACTGCGGCTGGACTGCTGGAGCCCAGACTGGACGGCATGATCACTGGAGACTACAAACCACCTGGAGAGAGAAGAACATAAATCTATTATTATAATAATAATAAAAATGTAATATATACATATATTACACGTGTATATATATTTTTTAATTTTTAAATATTAATATTATTTTATTTTATTATACATTTCTATACACACACACACACACATATGTATATATACATATAAAAAAAATTATACTAATACCTTTATACTTCTACTAATACACATTAACACGCTTTCGGCACTTTAAGCTAAAAATAGAACACAAATGGAGGCACAAAAAAATATATGCATACTTTCTAAAAACTAAAGCAGGTGTTCAGAGTAAATAATAACTAACGTTAACGTGTCGTGAAAGTAACGTTACTTGAGTCACGTCTTGAATAGCATTATGAAATATGAATTTCTTTATACAGCCAACTAACTCACCTGTGACTGTAATGACCACATCCAGTTATAACACAAACAATGAGCTTTAATTTACCCGTTTTGAAAATAAACATGCTGTGATGTTAAATCAAATTTAAATGAATCAGAGATGTTGAGTACGTTAGCTTTAGCCACACAGCTAATTCAAAACACAGAGCACCCCAAACACATTAGATATTCCCTAAAGAGCTTTACTTGAGCTCTGATTGAACAGCGATTCAATAAACTCACCTCTGACTGAAAATTATATTCATAAAATATCAGCTGAAAGTGAAAGAGGAAAGCGAGTTTGTGAACTTCAGTGACTCCCGCCAAGCGCGTGTGACTGCGGCGGTGAGCGTGAAGCGCACCGGAAACACGCGCACATTTCAAAATAAAAGTCACTAGATTCTCCTGCCTCTGTTGTAGAGCTCGACTGAAATGAGTTTGACTATAAAAATAAATTATAAATTCAGCTAGTCTGTAGTCTAATCCCACATTCAGACTGTCTGCTGTGGGTTGTAACCTTGTAGGGACTCTCCATAAGGCGTAATGGTTTTTATACTGTATAAACTGTATTTTCTATCGCCCTACACCTAAACCTACCCCTTACAGAAAACTTTCTGCATTTTTAATTTCTCAAAAAAAACTCATTCTGTATGATTTATAAGCTTGTTTACCCATGGGGACCTCAAATTAAACACACAAACACACACACAGATTTAATTGATTTCTTTCTCAAATTGAATTGACTGCTCTAAAATATGAGACACCAATGTTTTAGAAGTTTAGGACACATAATAGAACACGTTTATTCGATAACTGTTTTATTTTCTATTTGGGTTTATGTATTTATTTTTTAAGATTGACTATATTTCCAAGGCATTGTTAGTCATAGCTGTGCGAAGATTTGATTTCAAAAACAGTAACATAGCTATTAAACTCTATCTTATGATTTTAAATCAGTATTTAACCATTTCAAAGTAAAAAGAGGTGCTAAAGTCTGATTTTTGTAGTGGCTGTGCTTTACAGTTTTTTACGATTGCTTAAGCACAATTTTGAAAACAGGGCCCGGTTTGTCAAAACACTACACACAATTAACACAACCCTACACCAAAGTAGCACAACACTTCAGATCATTTGCAAAATGGAACACTTTTGTCAAAACTATACACAACTTTATAAAAACAATATTTTGTTACCATACGAAACACACACATTTCATATGACTTTAATCTTTTTGAACCAGTTACACACCGCTGTTGCTAACTTAAAACACTTTTAGCAAGTCTAATTCTCAGAGATTAGAGTACTGTAAATGAAGTACACAGAGAAAGTGCAACTATACAATAGTTCACCAAACACTACACAAGACCAATGCTGCAGACTGACAAAAATATCATTGATTTCTCTCCATATACCCAAATCAGTCAACATGGAGAATCACAACAAAACATGTCCCAGTTGTCATGCTACTACAGTAGTGTGCATAACACTGTTAGCTCAGCAAACAGACAAACGTAAAATACTGTATCCAGTACAGGTTACAATTACAGTAAATAACAACAACAAACAAAAAAT